TTTGCTTTAGTAAAAACGAATAATTTGTAAAAGAAAAAAAACATGGAATTACGGTAAATCTCACAAACAATTTTTGAACTTAGAGACAAAAGCATAAATTCTATTAATTACAAATGGAAATAAAAAAAATTGAAAATATATTGCAAATGTAGATTATGTAGGAGACACAATATTCAGGATTTTAGAGACTGAAAAATGAACAGGATTTTAGTTTTGAGAGTCCTAATTTTTTTTTTATTATAAGTACTTCCTCCTGCCTTTCTGCATGCCTTCTTAGTGTAACGGTAGCACACTCAACGTGTATTCGAGAGATCCAGTGTCAAGTCCCGGGGAGAGTACTGTGGATTTCTTCGATTTCCTTGTTTCGAAGAACTCTAAAATGATTATACATTAGCGTTCGAATTAAAGTGGTAGATGATGGCAACTGGGTCCCCTAATCCCCAGTCCCTCCTTAAAAGGGGGAGTATATAAGGTATTTTCTCCCTCCTTTCTGCATGCCTTCGTAGTGTAACGGTAGCACACTCGGAGCGTATTCGATGTAATGGAGTCTTGAAAAGGGGATGCATGCAGTTAAATTAATAATTTAAAGGACGAGTAAAGTTTAATTTGATAACAAACTTTTCTTCATATTTTGCTTCCTACATATATATATATATATATATATATATATATATTACAAAATTTTATATTTTATGTTAAATATATTGTTTATTTTCGTTCATTTTTTTATAGCGAGCGCCTGATAAATTTTGAAGAAGATTTCTATTTTTATATTAATTATTCTTATATTTTGAAAAAAAAATTGGATAGAAACAATGTTGGTAAATTACTCTTAAACGTTATTAATTTGCACTTTACTGAATTACCGATAACTGATAAATTTGGTAAATTGGCAGTCAATGCTACAAAGTTACCTCTTTACGAATAGAATCTCATTTTGTGATCAGGATCAGTTTCATCAGCCATGAGTTAGCATTCAGCTTAAACACTGAGATTTTCTTCCATAAATTACAAATTGAAAAGTGTTCTCTACAGAAAAATTAATTAGAGTATTTTAAAGATTGCTCTGACTATTTGACATGATGTTTATTATTGATTTATGAAATGGAGTACAATTAATTTCTTTCAATGCAGCCATATTTTTGCAGGAGTTTTTTTTCCTGAATCATTTAACTCGGATTATTACAAAAGTGCACATTTGAAAGATGTATTATATTTGCAATTAAAATAATCACTGTGAACAGCATAATAAGCAAATTGTGACCAGTTTTGCTTGTATTTATTAGCCCAAAGGGCGTTAGCCCAGAAGGGCTATTAATTTTGTTATTTGATTTTGCGTCGAATAGCTATAAAAGGCATATCACTTTTCAAATTATTGCCACCAAATGTTAGAGCTCTGTATTATATTTAAAGAAATTAAATAATGAAGAATCTGCATAAATGTATGTATGTTTCTCGTACTGTGATAAAACAACGGTACCCAGAGCCATCCAATTCGGATCTTCCGCCCGAATGTGGGCCATCTGGAAGCCCAAATTTGAAATTTGTTTTATTATGTATTTCATATTTTATAAAACCTTAATGAATTTTTAATAGACTAACTCAACAATTTCAAAGAGAGGAATGGCAACACTGTACGGAAAAAAAAAAAAAAAAAAAAAACATTTTTATCTTTAGCGCGTGAGACTATGTATCGGAAATTCTAAAGATATGCTCTTTTTAAATTATTTTGCGATGTTGCTGTTGAATCGAATTTTAAATGCGAAGAATATGATATTTAATAAATAAAGGTAACTCACGAAAGGTTAAAAAAGCCCCTTTGAAAGAAATATAAAATTTGAAAACTTTCAGATTTTTTTAAATATTTTTTCATTTTCTGCATTATAATTTTTCAATATGAAGAAAAAATACAACGAATACTTTGAATTGCTTACAGAATCAAATGCTATCAAAAGTAGTATAGAAAATATATTTTACCTGAGCACATGTGCAAATCTCGTTTAAGATTGAAAATTTGCGTGGATTATGTGTAGAATCATAATTTTCATTCTAAAATATGAAAAAAATGTAATGATTCAAGAGATTTTTGAAGAAATTATATTATATGACTACTGAAGGAGCAAAGGTTGACAGAAATGCATTTTTGAATTTAATGTCATCTATCACAGAGTATAAAACATGCATCGAGGACATCTACGCCTGAGCAGCCATATGAACAGCATTTGAAAATAGAGAAAAAATGCGCTGGTTAAAATGGCGTATCAACTCGATAACTTTAACCAGCAGCTTTCAAGGCTTTTCAGCATGCTTTTCACTTGCATTTTCTGCTTAACCTTGCATCGTTTCTTGATATGCATTAAAAATGAACCATTTGTGCATCACTACTCTAATGAAGTTCATTTTACAGAAGCTGATTCATATTTTTCTTTTTAACAAAAATTAAATTCAGCCATCTTCAGTCTTTATCTTACATGCATGCTAAAATTGAGAATGCCTAGACAGTTTGTAGTGTAGTATATGTTTGGAATATATTTGTTTTTGAATAAGCATCTCGGTATACGATTACATTAATAGGTCCAATATAGCAAAATATAAGTGCTGGAGTATATTAAAAGCAGCTCACCCTTTAAGAGCTCAATGAAAACAGCAAATAATTAAAATTGTAATTAGTGTAATCAATGAAATTAGTAGAATAATTAACTACTTAAACCTATTGCAGATTCCTTAAAACAAAGCAGATTCTTTTCAGCTGAGGATAAACTAAATATTAAACTGATGTTTTTTGGTACTTCTTGATATTTACTGAAAGTGTTATTGTATTAGTAACACAATTAATATAACATATCTATTTTAAGAAACGTGAATTTAAAGAAAGGTGGAATTTAAAGAAAGGGGAGAGGTCTGCGACACAGTAAAATAATCCAGGTAACGATAATTTATCGGCCATTATACTTTTCTTCCGAATGCCCACCGTAAGAACTATCAGAGAATGTCGGACTATAGAACGGGATAAATCATTTATGACCTTTCCGAGATTTAAACTATGTGTATTCCAACTGCTCGATGAACATGTTAACCTCCTAAACCACTACATCACGCACGGCATAAAGTAATAATGTTTTACATCAACACCAATACTAAACGGTACATTGTATTCGATAAGAGCTACCCTGCTTGATATAGTAGATAGCGATGCTAGCTGCTGTGTCGTTGACTGTATAGTTTGCTGTGCGTATGGCGCTTAAAACACTGGAGAGGAGAAAGTCCTTTCGAGTGGTATAAAGGTAGAAGGAAAGGAGTGGGAAACCATCAGATTTCTTCCAAGACGGAGCTGCATATTTATTGAGGTAGTAATATAACAGCAAGACCAGAAGGGAAATACTGGTGTCCCATCCAACTCTACATGTATCTGTATTCAGAGAAATCCATATTCCGTGAAAGTATAGTAATATTAAGAAATGAATTTGTCTCTATCTTATGAAATGCAAATAGGGTGTCCACAAACTTCCTTATCAAATTTAACAGCTTGTTGTTTGGGAATGGAACAACTTATTCTTTTGGTACTGTCACACTTACTAAAAGTAGCGTTCAAAGTCTTTGTGATAAATGACACAAGTTACACAACCTGCGCATGCTCACAACTAATGATGCACAAATTATGAAAACGGTATTCCAACTGTGTTCCTGTCCGGCGTTATACTGCTTAATCAATATATGTAGTGACGTTGCTCATTCTGGTCTTCAGATCTTCAAATTTTGACACTTTCGAATGATAAGTAATGTCTTACCAAACCCACAGAAACATGAACCTACAGAAAGAACTACAAAGGGGTTATGTCGGACGAACGTGGTGAGCGTGGAATGGGTCCATCTCTGCCAATACATCTGTCTGGGAAGATTCTGTTGAGAAAACTGCGAACCCACTAAGCTCAGTGTGGCGTGCTATCCTTCTAAAAAGAAATAAGTGCAAGACTCAAAATGATGGTCCTCCAACTGTGAGAAAAGATAATTAATCAATGCAGCTAAATATTGTCATTGTTTATTCATGGAAATCATAAATGGCTGTCATTGTTTATTCATGGAAGGACAAAGGTCCTAAAAATTTTGTTATACAGCATCCTATAGCAGGTATTCTCTCTCGGACTGTCCCACCTCAGCTCTTTTGTGTCTTGAAGATTTTCGGATCTCCAAATCATCGCATGATGTATAAATTAAAACAAACTGTTAGGAAAAAGCTTTGATGTACGTGTAATAGCAACTACAAAAGTTTACAGCCCTACAATAGTAGGGTAAGGTTGTCCAGAGATATTGCAGACATACTGTATACCTCAAAACCTACATCAGGCGAACATGGAATTATACATTACTGATTCATTCAAAAATAATCATAGACATTTTGACTATATTCCTTGACTAGTTTATAAGGTATTTCTCCCGCTTTCTTAGCATGCCTTCGTGGCGTCGTGGTCTGGACGCCGGGCTCTTATTTCAGAGGTTCGTGGTTCGATTCCCGGCGAGGGCATTGTTCATTTTTCATCTTTCCTGCTTTCGAAATAATCCGATGTCTCTACAGGTTTTTGAAACCTGTAATTTTAAACCTTTCATAATTCAAATTTTTAACAACTTAATTTATTTTATCGTAAAACAATAAAAAAAGCGAAGTAATACATCTCGCAGAAAAGCATCGAATCTTAACTATGCCTTTGCCAGATACTTCATAACTTAGTATTTGATTAACACAAACGAAGTTACAGCGTAGTAGAAAGCACCGAAGCGAGAATTTCGGTTAAAAATTTAGAAAACAACTAAGCCATTAAGTCGGCGCGGCGCGTCTGGCGTCAAGTTATGCGATCTGTAGTGGAAGATGGTCTCACGCACGCCCTTCATTTCCATAAATCTGAATAAAATTGTAAAGATCGGACCTGCGCGTCTCTGACGGCCCGAATAGCTCAAATAACCACAAGAAGGACATCGGGATCTTGGTGATGAATGAAAGAGAAAAAGCAATATCTGTCACCTCGTATATAAACTACTTTCAGAATTATGGTGGCAACATTCGCTTCGCTGCTACCGGCAGTAATGGATTATCTCGGCACCAGTTTTAAGACGTTTAGACTATTGGTAAGTAATCACGTTTAACACTAAACATTGAAAACTTATGGTGATTATGCTACTGAAGAAACAGGATGTTTATTTAACACTTTTACAAGCTGTTTAAGGCAGAACGAATTACATGCGAGTGCATGCAATAAATTGGAATTCGTCGTTTAAAAAATCATAGTTATCTCTTCGTATTTGCTATAAAATCTTACGTCTGTTTTCACGTCTCCTAGAAAATTAAACTTGGTGCTAAAAGTTGTAGCACTAAACTGTAGCAAAAAAAATTGCCTGTACTTGACAGTACATAACCTCAGCATATAATGCGGTGGTTGCTAGTGTGAGTATTTATTATATAAGCAAACCAGTGTAAATTATATAAGTTTTTTTTAATTAATACAACGTCTAGAATCTTTCCTGCACTTCTATGTTTCCGTCTACTCCGCCAGAAATGTAATTTAAGTTTAAATAACGAGAGAGAATCCAAATTAGAGAAAAATATTTGACAAGGGATATTTGCATCCCTGCAGTATTGATTAAGCCTGCTGGTATGTTGTGTTGATAGTTTATTGTTTCATTTATTATATAATCAAACATCCCTACAATTCACCTGTCTTTTAACGAATCCTCGAATATAACGAAGGAACCTTTCGGTCCTGTCCAGTTCCTATAGATTTACTTTTATTTTATGCTGTTATAGCGATTTTTCAGATGTATAAAAATCGGATATCACGAAGTTTGTGCATAACTTGAGCTGAAAATGTTTTGCATTTTTCAAGCTTTTTTCGAAAATTTCCGTCATTTTCAACTGAAAATTGACTGTAAATTTTGTCTTTCTTAGCATACTATAATATATAAAACACCTTTAAGTTACTATTTTTTAATCTTCACCTGCGTTTTTCGGGTGGTGGATTACGTTATTCAAAATTGGATGGCCTAGTTACCGTTTTTTTTTTTATTATAACGATGCGAGAAACGTACGTATATTTATGCAGATTCTTCATTATTTAATTTCTTTAAAGAAAGATAATACAGGGCTCTAATACTCGTATTTGGTGACAACAATTTGAAAAGTGATATCCCATTTATAATGATTCGACGCAAAATGCCAAAACGAAATTAAATGCCCTTCTGGGCTAACGCCCTTTGGGAGCAAAATGTTTCTGACGAGTTTCAGTTTGAACTCTAAATAGAAGTAATATGGTTCCTTCTTTCGTTTTGTTTGCTATTTAGCATATTTTTAGATTTATATTAATGATAAATTATAATGACTGATTTTTAATTTAGTTAATTCATTTATATATCAGAATATTATAAACTTTGCATGAAATTTAATGATAATTATTATACATTAACAACATATCCTTGACCAAATTGCTGATAAAGACTTAAGCGTTAATAATGCAAAATGTTTTTGATTAAGAGGTAGTGCATTACAACATCCTACATAGTAATTTCAATATGTTTTTTCGCAAATGCATATAAAATATATTAAATTAAACGCATTTAAGAAAGTGAACAAGTATAAATATTATTGTCAGTATCGAAAAATCTAAAACTGTATTCATCGGAAAAGGTATAACTTCCTCGAATTAGATGCCAATTTTTCAAACCACTGCTTAGGCGAATTATGAGAAGTATGCAATCTAATGAGTAATAAATTTCATTCAAATATTACGCAACAAATTAATTTTGATATGCTAGTCCATGAAAGAATATTGAGAGACCTGGGCATTTTTTAACTACATTTTCTCATACTCTCATGTGACTTACGTATTTAATGACTACGATATCCTTATACAAAAATATCTTTTTTATACTTAAAGGTAATTAAGAAATTTAATGAATGACTCCCTGAAATTTAATTGGAAACGTTTTACTACAATTAATAGACTTATTTCTCAAACAAAAAAATACTTTTGTCAGTCAAAATATTCTCACATTAAATATTTAGTAATAATAAATATACTTATTACTAATTAAATGTTTAGTAATAATAAATATGCTTACCTCCTAATTAAAAATTTAGTAAAAATAAATTTGTTTACTCAATTTAATTAACTTTCTCAGAACGGTATTCCCATAAATATATTAAGCGAGACAATTTTTTAAGCGGAAATTAAAATAAAATTTGCGTTCAATCCTGTCTCGCTATAAAGAAAACTCTTTCTCTCGAAATTAATAAGGAGAAAGTTATTATTTGGAGCTACACGAATTTATTAATTATTTCTTAAATCTTGTATTAATTACTTGTTTACTGATATGAATATTTGTAGGTTATTGTATTTTTATCACTTGTAAAACTGAAGCTATCATATTAAATAATTTAAGATTATAATTTTTTGATGTTGTGACTTATCTCACTTGTCTTAACATCAAAAAACTGATCGTGGTAAGGAGTGCAAGACTGGGAATGCCGTTGGCAAAAGCCTTGAGCACCATACAGGTGACAATACGACTTAGCTCATCCCCCCCCCAAGTTTTGATAATGAGCATCCAAGGGTCTACCACTCCTCTCTCCCTACCATCAGTCTCTTAAGAGAACTTCGGCTCGCAGCATATTTAGACTACCCATGCCGCACAGACACTACACATTTACAAACATCCATGCCTTTTCCGGGATTTGAACCCCTGCCATTCGGTACGGCATTCAGCGTCACTAAACACGATACCGGTCGGGTAGCTAGATTATGATTTTCTGTATTTTATACTTCATGAATAAAATTACAAGGACGGTAATTTTATTCATGTAAGGTAAGTCATATGATATGGATTAATCTAGAATCATGATACTAAACCATGATACGAAAAACCATGATACGAAAAACCATGATACGAAATTTTTAGCTGAGTAAATTTTTGTTATAATATTATATGCTGTTTGAAAGAAAAGTACGGCGTTCAGCAATACACCCACGAGCGGCCGAGCGGTTAAGTCGCTCAACACTGGTAGTTCTGTCCTTCTGTCCGAGGTTCGAATCCGGCGAACGGGTTGGCTGCATAGGCGTTTCCGTGAATTTCCCAATGTGCAACATGTATACAAGCCAGTTTACCTTAGAAAGTCCTCCACAAAGGCCCTCGATTGCTTTGCCATAAGGAAATAAATCAAATCCAACGTCATATGGTAGAGAAAATAATTTCATTTATGAAGCAATATTTTTGAAATCGATGCAATAGTATCTAAAAATTAAAAACTTTATACACGGAATTTTTTTAATTAGCTATATCCCCTTAATTCCTCATTTTTAATTCAGGTACTTCCCCTCTGCATTCTAAAAAGAGTAACGACTATTTCTGGACTGCGTCATTTCTAGATCAATCCATAGCATACGACTTACCTAACGCTCATGAAGTAGCTAATTTGGAGTTTAAACCGGAATTTTCTTTTAATAAGCTGCCATATTGTGTAACTGCGCGCTTTTGCTCCTACCTCTGTTTTCTTTAAGACGTTGCCTCGCAGCTCTCTTCCTTTCGCAGTAGTTTCAAAAATGTAAATGCTCTTGAATAGGCACGATTAGATTGCAAAGTGAATTGTGGCCGGAAAAATCATTTGAAATAAGCATGCATATTTAAACCGCCTCGGTCAAGTTTGCTCTCCACTGCGGAGTAAAATTACGAATGAATATTTGAAAATTGTTTATTTCGAGTTAGGTTTTCTAACATGTTATTTTTCTAAGAATTTTAATAAAACTAATTTTAATTTTTTCTTTCTAATATATTAAAGCTCTAATTAAATGTAATTTATTGTAAATAAAATGACTATTAATTTCAAAAAAGAATCAAAAGTAAAAAAGAATACTTTTTAACCCCAAATGTTAGAAACTATTTTGAAAAAAAAAAAAAAAAAACTGAAAAAGGGGGAACATATAGGTATGCTATTGGAAACTACTTTAAGATAAAAGTGGTAAAATTAAGAACGTAAAATGAATGCAAAGTATCATAAGCTTAATGTAAGTAATCATAAAAATTAACTAGACTTAATATGATTAAAAATAACTTTCTTATTTTTTGGTTTTCATTTTCCCCCTAATTCAACAAAGCAATATTATTTCACTAATTCTTCAAAATAATAACTAAAATATTTTATATAAATCAAAATAGAGTTATACGGAATATTTCTCTACTATGATAGCCGTTCTGGGATACTGAGGATGCTTCATGCATGTCAAAAAGCCATAACAATCAATGAACCGTTTCTAAGGTTTTACTGCGCTATTTTTATTAAGATCATTCTTGAGTTGTATGAGATATCAATAAATAATTTTAAAAGCATTAATGGTAAAATTTAATTAATAAAGTTTTTTTCAGTGTTACACAATATCAGTGAGTTTCGTTTTCAAATTATAATAAAATGATATACCTTTCTTTTCTCATATAACGTAAAGAAACAAAATGGTAAGAGAACTTGTACGAAATGTACTTCTAAAAAAATCCTTTATAGAAAAGCAAAAGAAAATCATATAAAATTTTTTAAAAAAACTATTTTCAGGTATATTTCAGTAATAAATTCAAATTCCTAATTTATTCGCGAAAGCAATTCGAAATTATAATTATAACTGAGCAAAAACTAATTAGCGATGACGTAAAGACTTTATAATTAACTATTACTTTTATGCGCGTAGTATATCAGCTATTAAAATAAAATGTTTTCAAGTAACGTTTAGATATTATGTATTGCTGAAAAAACTTACTAAAAACCAAAAAGGGCTCTTTTAAAATTTAATACGTTTTATCAGCAGAGTTTATCAATACAGATGGCCCAAGTGGTGTAAAGAAATATTACCATTATTTTAATAAAGGGAAAGATCCAGGAAAAGATTCCTGAAGAGATCCACGAAATCGTAACGAGAGGAGTAAACAGTATTCAGACAGATGACATTCTACGAAGAGACCAAGCTATTACATATATATGACAAGCAAATGCACGATATTATATTATATTTTATATACTTTGTATATGCCAAGAGTTGATGAGGATAGCATATCGAAGGCGGAAACATAAAAATGTTTTCTTTAGCTTTCCATTGCGTACGAATTTACGAGTATGCTGATATTTAATTCCTGAAGTTTTACAGAAACTCTGCATATATTCAAACAGAAAGAAGCAATGAGCAGACGATAACATTTAATAATTCAGATCCAAAATGTCTTCACTCGAGGTTCTATAAATCTCTTTGATGTCTTTTATTCTGTATACAGAATTATATTTGAAACAAAAAAATTCTCAGAAAAGAAAAATATTTTTCCCCAAAACATCATCAGCGATTCGACGCCATTTAAAAGAGATTAATTTATTTTTAGGTTCCAATTGTTTGCAAACACACAGCCTAATTGCCAATTAGGTTTAATGTTTGGTAAAAGTAACAAACAGACATTTCCTTCCAATTATATTCTTTTTTGTCTTAATTTTGTAATTCCTTGTTTCCATTTTATGCAATACTTTAATTATACTTAAGCTACTACTCACGTAAAAAAACTGAAACGTTCATTTGTTAACTGTGTAAAAACAAAGGCATAAAATGTTTTTAAAACAATTAGCATTTCCCGACTTTAACGTTTGAAAGATAATGAATGAAATAGTACAAATTATGTGTATAAAATTAGCCAAATTTTCAGTTTAATCTTTTCGGTGTTGACAAATTAAATTAAAAGAAATTAAACAAAAAGCGTATAATTTCCTAAGTATATATGATAGCTTAAGTATTTTAATAAGAAATATATGTATGGTAACTTAAGTTATTTTAATAGGTTTTTTTAATAGAAAGTTATTTTAAACAATACTGTCTTAATGCATTTTATTAATTATATTTCGTTTTAATTTTGCTGTTAAGTTAATTGAGGTTATTGCAAATATTTACCTGTATAAAGCATTCTTATTTATTTATATTTTAATTAATCACCTTAAAGGAAACATAGTATTTATCATTTCTATTTCTCAGATTTCAGTTACTGGATTTCGGTTATAATTATATTTTCTATTAATGATTATCTCCTATGAGATGAAACTTAAAACTATTGCAAACTGAAATTAGGAAATATCAGTATTAAGAGGACTATGTTAAATGAACTTAAGAGAAACCTAAAATTTGTAATGGAATGCTTTAAAATTTTATAACTTAGAAATGAACAGTATATACCTAAAAATAAGGTAGAACATTACATATATTTAAAGTAAAATTAAATTATTGCCGATTTCCCGGAAGAGGGTTAATTTTTTGTTGTTGTTCTCGTGTTCAGATTACATGGAAGAATGTTACCAGGGCCCACTTCAAAGAGAGGTTGGACTTCTATTTTCCACCCCAATTTTGAGGGAGAGTACTCCGGGGGCGGTCTCCAATCGCTCTTTGCCTCCACCAAACCACAAGAGAAGAACTTGGGTTCGCAGCATATTAGAGTGTCCCCAGCTCGTACGGACACCATATCTTCTCCGGGATTCGAACCCTTGTGCTTTGGTACCGCAGTAGCTCCCCTAACCACTGCACCGTCTGGGCGACAGAGGGTTGATTTATTTATCAAGAGAAATTAACTTTCCCTAAAAAATCCGCAAAAAATATTTAGTCCATTTGTGCCTTTAAATTTTCTTCCTTACTTTTTGTTGAATGTATAAATGCAATGAAAAAGATTTTGCAATATTGATTGCGTAGTAGGAAGTTGAATCCGTAATGAACAGCAAACTCCGCAGTTGAAAGTGGATTAAATATTCTTGTTTATTTCAATTGATATTTGCGGCCACAATTTAGTTGCCACTCTAGTCGTGCCTATTCAAGAACATTTGCAATTTTGATATTATTGTGATAGGAAGAAAAGCAGCGTATCTTAAAGAATTTCTTTTTCTCTCACCACTGCATATTGAAAACTGAACTTACGTTATCCATGTTGTAGTCTGTAAGGGATCAATGGCTTTTCCCATTCTGAAAATTTATGCGTTTGTTTCAGAAGCACTTTCATGTGTCTTTAAAAACATTTCGTTTGCGTTCATGACTGGAATAATTATCTGACAAGAGATGCCTAGTTTTTGGCCTGTACCAACGTTTCCCAAGTTTTTAGTTCGAGTTAACGTTTAAATGTATTTCCACTTCAACATTTAGAATTGCATGTAATGAACTGGATACTTAGGTATTATCGCTACCACTATAGTAGGCATGCCGCCCAGACGGTCTAGTGGTTAGGGGAGCCGGCTGCGATACCGAAGGGCCCGGGTTCGAATCCCGGAGAAAGCATGGATGTAAATTGTCTCTCCCGTCACAGGAAGTAACGGCGGCCGCCTATTAGGTGTCTCCACAATAAAATGGTTACCAGTTCCGGCTTTAGGAGTAATGCTGAAGAAAGGGGTCCGCTGTTCGATTAAAACAAAACCTTAGTAGGCATCACCAAATTTTCAGAATGCACCAGACTGTTGTAACTGCGCGCATAACAATTTTTCAGATAACCACGCACATTACAATACCGCAGATTTAATAATCAACAAATGCCTTTTTCTTGTGGTCCTTAACAAAAGGACTGCGAGATATTTCTCTCTCCGTCTCGTGCTGTCTGTTTACGGATGCTATTTATTATTTTTAAAACTGCGTATTTGAAGCAAAAAGGAAAAAAAATTGTATTACAGTATTGCATGGGAATGGATTTAATTGCTAATAAAACTGTATGGTTTGTGTACAATAATGAGAAACGTTTAGTGTATAGCCAAGGAGTAGTGCAGAGTTTGCTCCATTTTCTGATTTTTTTTAATGAAAGCAGATCTTTGTATACGTTGAAGGAAGTAAAAAAGAAATATTACAGAAGAATTTTGCGAAAAATATGTGTTTTATTTTTTAATATATCATATAATCCTTATTGAATGTACCATATCATCCTTATGAACTAAAATTTTTATTTTAAATTGCTAAAATACTTTTTAGTCCAAAGGGATTTGAATCCCGAAGGACTATTAGTTTCGTTTTGGCATTTTGCGTCGGACTCATAAATGTCGGTTCACTTTTCAAACTGTTGCCATAAAATGTTAGAGTCCTGCATTATATTTGAAGAAATTAAATAATGAAAATCTGCGTAAATGTATGTATATTTCTCACATTGTCATAAAATAACGGTACATAGAGTCATCGAATTTTGAATAACGTAATCCTCCAACGAATATGAGCATGTGGAAGACCAAATTTGAAATTTTTTTTATGATCGATTTCCTATTTTTTAAAACTTTGACGAATTTTTGATTAACAAACTCAAGGATTTCAAAGCGAGCAATGGCAACGTTGTGCAGAAAAAACATTTTTTTTTATCTCCAGCGCGTGAGTCTCTGTATCGGAAATTCTAAAGATATGCTCGTTTTAAAACTATTTTGCGATATTGCTGTTGCACTGGATCTTATGGTTTAAGTGCGAGGAACATGATATTTAATAAAGAAAGGTAACACACAAAATGTTAAAAAACGCCCCTTTGGACGTAATTTAAAATCTGAAACATTTCAGATTTTTTTTATTCTTTTTTTTCTTTTGATGTGTTTATTGCCGACTTACAATATAATTTGACAATCTATTTTAAAATATTGATAAAATTGGCAGATTGCACGCGGTGAGTAATTTACCGATTCACAAATTGCTTTAAGGTACTTACACCGAAAACAAAAGAGTAAATTATATCTGAATTTTATTACATACATCAAAGAGCCATAATAATTTACTAAATATATCAATTTGGGATATGGATCAGAATTTTAGAATAACTCCTTTCTATGTCTTATGTAAAATCATTTCAGGAAACACGTGTAAACTGTTAAATTTTAACTTATGCTGTGCTTGGTAATGTTTCATAGAATAGTTACACTAATAAATTCTTGTTTCCTTCCCAGTTATGGTTCTCGTGGTTTTTCCTTATTGCGGCACAGAAAGACAATGTGGCGGAGAGCAGTCTCAAGTTAAGTAACAGAAACGTAAGGCAGTTTTTTGATTTTATATTTGACGCTATACTTCTCGTCCATTATTTTGATTTAATTTTATATAGATATCATATTTTTGAATGTTTGATTACTACAAAGCTAGTTAAATGTTGACAAATTTTATTTTAATAATGTGATATGAATCTAGTGAACGTTTGATTATCCAAAATGAAAAGGATGAAGACAAGTTCGTAAATAATTTTGTTCAAATAATCAAGGCTTTATGAAAGAGTATACAAACGTTTGCTGAATATTTCGAACTGTATCTGATGCTCTTCGTTACCCCATTGAAACGAAAACAGTTGCCATGCAGACTATGTGCCATAAATTTAAATGTTGATATAATATAACGTTTTTATATTACAAAAATTTTAAAAATACATTTTCATTATCTCCAACAAAAGCGTGAATGATAATTTTGAAAATGTTTATGACTGAAATCTATCCATCAACATTCAGGAACAAAGCGAATTTCGCGAACGAAATTCTCTCTTATCTTGCATTTTAAAGTATTTTATTTACAGTTTTAACTAAAATAGCAGTAACTAAAAATTAGTTATGTGTGAACTCAAAAGTTTTTAATTTTTAATTTAATATTACCCGAAAATAGTTCTTTCTCATTGTTATTTTTATAACAGAATTACGTACAAGTAATAATCTCCATTTCAATATTTACGAAGCTATCAAAAAAATGTAAACTCAGTTCATGTAGTATTTTAAAAATTCTCAAAAAATTATTCTATATTTCATTCCTGAGTGAAATTTTGGAAATAAATGTCATGAAACAAAAATATAAATTTTGCTAGAAAAATATGCAGTTGCTTACTATCAACCGATCTTGTTTTCAACAAGAATTATACAAACTCAAGAACTGCAATGAAGTTTTCAAGAAGTAGTGGAAAGAGGAAGATAAGAAGTAATATTAAAATTCGAATTTAACGTCATGATTGCAAAAAGTAAATAGTATATTAGATAAATTCAACGATTATTAGGGTCAAATTGCTATTCAAATATTTTAATTTGATAAAATTTAGAAGATATAACAAATCTTATACAAGTAAAACAAACTTATATACAGAATAGGTATAGACTATATATGCATATATGTAAACACAGTCTATTGAAGCAAAAGCTTATACATGAAACTCAGAGAGTTTAGCATTGGTATCATAAACTAGGTCAAACCCTAACAGTTTGGTTCACTTTATTTGATTACGACAAAGCACTCGAGGGCTATCGGACTAAGGGGATGGGGTGCCTTCGTGGAGGACTTTCTAAGGAACTGGCTCTTATACACCTCACACATGGGGAAACCATGAAAACGCCCATGCCGCCCACCATTTTGCTGGATTTGAACCTCGGACCAAACAACAAGTGTTAAGGGATGTTATCGCTCGGCCGCTGGTGGGCCAACTCAAACCTTAACGGACTTGGAGCGCATTATCGCTCGGTCTAAAGCAACAGCAGTCTTGAAAAGGTTTCATACAACCTTTTTATCAAAACAGAACTATATCTATAATATATCTATAGTGTGGCTGGAAAACACCCACATTGCCAATGGTTAAACAATGGGTGTCCACCCCACTTATCCATATCAAAACAGAACTTAAACACAAGCACACTTCTTATGCTTGACAGTGTCAACCACCACTTGTGGTGATGTAATTTAAAGAAACACTGAAATTCAAATTTAAAACTAAGCCTAACAATCAAAGACTACGAAACTGATTTTAAGTTCTAAAGTGGCTCATCCCACCGGCGTAACAATCAAATATTGGCAACAATAACGCAAAGCCGAAGAATTATGATCTAATCAGAACTGCCGAAACCAAGAAATAAAGCCTCGAGAGGCAAAAACACACTCTGTCTTACAGTCCGAAAACCTCTTCTTAAATACTCTTTACTGATTTGCATTTCTGATGCAGAAACGGAAAGGGTAAGTTACAATAAAGGCTTAAACTGCACTTAAGTGGTCTGTTAAAATAATAATGACCCTATATAGTAAGATTTATTTCTTAAATGAGATTCTTTTTTTTTATTTTTTGTAATATTATTGAAACTATTCTATTAAATATTAATGTTTGTGCAAGTTAAAAATAGATACATTTTGTTCCTTTATTAGAAATAAATACAATACTTTAATTATGTGTTGTAGCCCATTTTAAGTAAAATAGATTTTCCGTAGACAAATGAATATTTATTTAGTAGAAAAAGATATAAATGAAACGTAATCATAAAACAATAAAATTTAAAACATATTGTTCATTTTCCATCAGATACTTAGTAAGACCAGATTTTGTTTAGCTGAAATATAAAGCAACTTAATCTATTGTTTGAAAGTCCAAAACGATTTATCAATCTGCCATCAAACGCAAATGTAATTTTACAAAACCCAACCAGGAAAATGAGGTAGCATTTGAGATGCATATTCAAAAGTATGAACTAAAGGAAATTAAAAAAAAATCTTTCAAAAATTTAATAAACTGTTCAAGAATAGCAACTGGTACATGACAATTTTCTAGAATTGAAAGTCGTATTATTTTCAGGAAAGAAAAAAAAAACATGAAAGATATAAGCAAACTCTAAATTTTTTAAAACTGTAATATGTTTATAGATTAAAATATTTCCTACCATAAATATCAGCTCAAATTCAATCATTACTATTCATTGATAACAATTATTGCGAAATATTTCATGATTTAACCTCAAATCGTATTTTTAAATTTACGATCAGCACAGGAAAGTGCAGTCACATATTTAGTTTAGGAAAATTGCTTTGGGAAACTTCAAGACTTTTATTTCTTCAAAAGTACTTATTTTCGCTGCACTAATTTTTTTCTACAGATAATAAAATTTCATGCAAACGCTTTCAGTTCATGTATAAATGCATATATATATATATATGTATATGTATGCATATATATTTTCTTTTCAGGATGAAAACGTATACACTTTCCGCTACGATTTATTTGATGGAAGTAATTCAAATAACAGAGCTCCAGATTACATAAAAGAGCCATATCATGAGATATTTGCATTCAAAGGATCAGATGGCGAAGTGCAAAGGATTCATTATGCTGTAGATGCTCGAGGTGTACGCGCTAATATACATTCTAATGCTGTATACCCTTTCCAGAAATCACCAAATGGGCCAATACTTTATAATCCTACATCTTACGAATGGACAGAAAAATTCAACACGCCAAAACAGTCGTCTTCCCAGAATATTCAACAAACGCCAGTTGTCGGAAAAGTAGAAACAAATTCCGTCATAGGTAATGATAAAAACATTGAACATTCAAAGAATATACCAAACCGTCTTGTACTTGGCTCTGTTCAATCACAAGGATCTGTTAAGACACCTTCACTGAATATTATTGCACCTGAGCTGCAGCAAAAAGCGGTGAAATTCATACCTGATCAGTTCCATCGAGAACTGAAGTCTCTTCTTTCTGCGCTTTCTTTCAAGGGTGAATTTGGAAATAGTTTAAATCAGGAACCAGGTATCTTAAACGCCAAAGAAACTACTGCTTCAGAAAAAAGCCAGAAACAAAAGGATATTGCAAATAATGGCACTCAGCCTCAACGTACGGCAACAGTACTTGATTCTGATGTAAAATCAATCTTCAATTCATCATCTACAATGAATGTTCAGGAACTTCTTGATTTATTGCAAACGAACCTTTCAGAACAAATGGAACCCATTCATGAAAATCAGGGATCCCTTGTAAAGCCCAAACCTTACATAGAAAGAATAAGGCCAACGGTATTGATTCCAAATTTTAATGAAGCAGAATTCGGTACATCGGAACAAGATGTCAGTGATCCAAAATTAATTTTAAAACCAGAAATGAAGAAAGAAGAAAATACATTTCCTTTAAACTATACTGAGTTTAATTCTCATTCCTTATTAAAGTCCCCAATGTCAACAATATTTGACACTTCTTCGGAAAACGGTCAATATTATCATTACGTTATGAATTTAGGAAAAAACATCGATAAAGACTCTTTGAAAAGATCTAAATTTTATTCCACTGGAAATGGACTTTTTAAAATTTTGAACGAAACAGGTTTTGCCTTATTAATTGATCAAGCAAAAGCATTCAAAGGACATAAAACTGACACTTTGCCACCTTGGTCTTTCACAACTACAAACGTGCCACGTATTTTTAAAACTGACACACCACAGAATAACGAGGTGGGTACAATTCAGTCGAATATGAACTCTTTAAATTCCGAAACAGTTACAGAACAGTATATATCCACTACTGAAAATTTTATTGAGAAAATCTTCCAGAAGGAAGAAATAAATAATTTAACCGAAGAAGCAATATCAGAAATAATTAATGTCACTGATTCTGAGGCACTAAAACCTGCTTTACTGGAAATCTATTCTGATGTTTTATTAAATACTACTTATTCTCCGTTAAATAAAGAAAAGAAAGCAACCACAGTATCTTTCGGTCAAGATGAAAACTTGCAAAGTAATGAAAATGCTGCTGAGGTGATAAATAACTCATCACTAGATTCAAGAACAGAAATTAATCCTTTATTTCTAACTATGCCAGAAACTGAGATGAGAACTGTTTTTGTGCCTCTAAGTATGTTATTAATTCCATTCTCTATGTCTAATCCAAGCAAGCAGTTCCAGTTGCCTAACACATATGTTGAAAAAGCAAATGAGAATGAAGAACATGAGCTAACCACAACTACCGCTCCTACTGTTACTGTAACTGAATCTCTGACAACATTGATGGGAGTTAATGAAAGTAGTACACATCAAGACACAGTATTCATTACCACAACTACGCAAAATACTGTCCCGAATGAAACTACATTTGATAAAACTGGCAATGAAACCCATGCCCAAACCAGAGTTCAAAATCTGGAAGACAGAACGAATATTTTCTCAACAACGACAGAGATTTCTATTGAATCAACAGCTGATACTCTTTTGTCCACTATGATGAATCCAAATCTGGAAAAGAGTGTAACTGAATCTTTTATTAACATCTCTGAAACAAAAACGCCTCATAACAACACAGTGGAGACATCAACAAATCATCACAAAGATGAATTTATTGAAAATGTTTCTAACAGAGGTGTCTTCTTAAATAATTCGATCTCTTCAGAAACAACAACAAATGCATATACTACCGAAGATACTGTAACGACAGTCGAACAGATTTCGCTAAATCTGAGTAAGTACACTGACACTAACAAAACTCTGCAATTAAAAGAAATACCTATTATGGGAAACATATACACACCCCACCAAAAACATGAAGGCAATAATACAAGAAACAATAATAGTGAAGCTGTAGGTTTTTCTCAGATTGAAAGACGAACAGATGAATCAAGTGTCATTCCTCAACATGTGCCCTATTTATCTCCAGACAACCCAGCCTCTCAAAATAAACGAGAGAAATCTAGAAATACATCTCCTCAGATTACTAAAACTGAAAACGGATTTTATTCACAGGCTCAATACCTTTTCAGTGAGCCAACTGCAACGAATCATGTTAAAACTGCCACACAAATTCTGTCATCTCCAAATGTTAGACAAGTAAATTTGCCTGCACACGAAACGGATAGATTTGATCACCGAGTTCCTCCTGGGTACTTTCCATCTTACGAAAACGTTCCTTACATCAGACCAGAAGCCGTTCAGTGGGAAAGATCTTCGAATCCTAAACAAGTAATATTTGTAGATTTGTTTGGGGATTCACTGCCAAATCAAGATTCTAGAAACGAACCTGAATCATTTTCAACACTTTCTAATTTGCTTAGAAAGAGTGATTTTCTGCACCAAGGAAATAAAATTATTGGAAATACAAAAATTTCGAAAGAAATTCAGTATTCTCCCACTGATATAGACTTTTATAAGAAGTTAGATGTTCATGATGCGTCTGAATTGGTTTATTCAAAGGAACTGTCCTATGTTGACCAAAATATAGATGGCCAAAATGGATATCTTTCTTCTTCGCCAATATTCGAAATAGCACCTGACACACCAATATATGCAGTTTCAAAAGCAGAAGAAGAGACAGAGTCATTACCTTTCATTTATGAACCTGAGCAATTTGGAATATCAAAAGGAAGCCAAATACCTGAGGAATACAAAAGCTTAAGGAACAATTTTATCAGCAATATACCTGGCTACGTAGAGCAGGCTGTTTCAGATGGCATAATAAAATCAAAACACTTAGGTAATCTAACTTCAGGATCCGAAAAGTTTTTAAAAAATGATGAGGAATATGATTTGGATCCAGTCATAGAAATTTTGGATATCATCCCATTTGAAGATTTGCAACGTATACCCCGTACAGAAGAAAATCACGCAAATGTTGCAGATAACATGGCCCAAGATTCATACATTTTGATTCAAGACTATGAAGGTTTACCAGATTTATTTAATGACCAACAAGGCCTATCAGGTTTAGCTAATGACCAACAAGGCCTACCAGGTTTACATAATGACCAACAAGGCCTTTATTTTACAGAAAGTGGTAGACAGGAAAAAGAAACTCCTTTAACAAAGATTCAAACAGATGTAACAGATTTTAACAAGAATTCAAATATTCCAGTTAACAATGATGTACCGGAATATGGAAGTCGTTTGTTTGGGAATACTCTTGTACAAACGAATCCTGGGTTCCTAGTGTCGCAAGAAAAGCTTAACATTGGGTCAAATATTCAGACTGAAGAAGGTTCTAGTCTTAGTAGAGCTCCGTGGCTTCCAAATCGTTAACAGTGTATATTTCTATGTACCTTGTTGAATAATACATTTATAAAATATTTTGTAATTTTATGTATTTTACATATATTTGATTTTGTAATGACTAACATTTTGTACTTGTGTAAAATCGTATTAAACGTATTAAAGTTTGTAAGTAGTGTTTTTCTTTTATTTCAGAAATATAACTCTGGTAAAAATTTCCTTTAGTTTAACAGAAATAATTATAGATTGCTTACATAATGGATTATGATACTAGTAATTTCATAACATATGAGATTTTGATAATACTAATGGAGTATGATCATATAGACGATTTAGTGCTGCTTTGATAATTTTCTTGTAAGAAATATGAAGGCAAATATTATATTGCTTTCTTCAATTTATCTTCTTCATGAGATTGATGCGGATCATAATAAAAGTTCATAAAATCTGACACTAAAAAATTTTGAATTTTGTTTTTCCAAAAACGAGATGTTTTACAGAAATGTTTCGATCATAAAATAGCAAGTTTAAAATAATCATAAAATCAGATAAAAGTCAATAAAAAATAGCAATTTAAAATAATTCCTATTTCAATAGATTTTTATATTTTTAAACTATAACTTAAATTCTGAGAAAATTTCGTGAATCGTTTTAATGTGGTATCCCATAAACTTTATTTTCATTCACTTAGAGGTAGAAAGTATATTCACTTAGAGGTAAAAAATATATTCACTTGGAGGTAAAAAATATATTCACTAGAGATAGAAAAGAGTATTTTTGTTTACAAAGTCTGCTATTACTTATGATTAATTAAATTTTTACTCGCAAGAATGAGCTAAAATTCAACAAGAAATTTAAAGCTACGTATAAATGAACAAAAATGCTCGCATGCATAGATTTAACGCTTTCTCATTAAACTTTATTACAATCCTAAAACAACACCTAGGACGATTATAATAATATTCTGCTGATCTTTAATTTTTATCTAAGTAACGATACATGATTACATAATCATAAGCATTGTTATATGCATATTCTATTTCCCTAAAAATTCTAACTAATTTAACTTCCACTTTAACCAGTACAATCTGAAGTAACACATTGAAAGAATGAATTCTCATATGCTAATAAAATAGGTAAAAGAAAGCGTGCAATAAAAATTTTTGCAATGAGATACATTCCGCAAGAGAAGAAGAGGAAAAATGTGGTCACGTGTTTAAGAATAACAACATCCACATGTGCTATGTTTACAATGGAGTCGATAGCAGATATTCCGCTGAAATTAATTGATTTTTTGAATTTAGAAATTTATAGCTATTGCGAGAAATTAAAAAATATGCTTGGAAATGATTTCTCTTTTCTTGATGTCAACAAGTAGGGTCTTTTGCTATTCAAGGAAAAACATGTGAACAATATTCGGCCGAAATGAAGAAATCAATTAAATATGAGACATTTCTGCAGAAAACGAGATAAGATTTATAAATTGTCCTTATGCGTGATGCTTACCAGTACTAATAATGTTTTTATTAAGAATATTAAGTGTATATCAGTTAATTGAAAACTATTCCCAAGACCTTGAATAACGTTTTCCAAACTTTTAAATGTAAGTGTAATAATAGTATATTCATAGTTCATGAATAGTTGTTCTAAATTACTGAAATAGCCGAATTCGGTAAACATCTGTTTATCTGCAAGAACATAAATACAAAGCCAATTCTCTCTCATTAATATTAATTAGCGTCATAGAACATTTTATGCCGTTAAAATTTTGTTTTAATATTTTAGTTGTTGTAATTGATTTTTAATGAATACACATAAATATCGGAATGTTAATTTTTTTAATACCTTCCATTGTAGAAATTAAGGTACCAACAGCTGTAATATTAGAAGCATCAGTAATACTGAAGCATATTCATCCTTTTATATTAAAACATACTTTTATATTAAAATAATTTATACTTAATTCTAAATTTTTCAAGGGAGATTGCTGAGTTCTTTAGTTTAAATATTAAATAAGCGTGTATATTTAGTCCTTGAAAATCAGTGGTTGTGTCAGTTCATAGTTTGAGATAATATGTTTCTTGCATATGCTTAGAATTACTCTAGTCTATTTTCTATGGTAGATCTTTTCAATAAATACACTTGAAAATCTTTTTGAGCTACATGATTTTAAAATTAAAAATTCTGCACACAAATTATGTAACTTACAAGATTAAAAATAACTTCAAATTTGTTTTTTGAATATTTAAAATGTATACTGATAGTACTTTTTATTATTTCTTATTATCAAATGAAGAAAAATGTATTATGAATAATTATTAGTTTCACAGCTAGTTCTGCGGTGAACATAGTTGCACAAATTTCTATATTTTTCTTTTTGACATTTATATTATAGTATACAAACTGTGTTAATTTGCACATTATACTATCGATAGGATAACAGTCAGTGACTAAAAATTAAATTTTAAGTTGTATAAAATTACATATTAATTTTGAACTGCGCAGAACATTGGCATCGTTATCCTTACATGATTTAAGGGCCAACTGCATTTACAGAGCTCCGGAAATATGACTATTACGATTTTCAGAAACCATTTATTTATATTTACTATTCTGTTTGTTAAGTTGATAAAATTATGACTTGAAAATATTTATAGTAACGTTCTTTTCAGTGTAGAAGAGCAATCTATGTAAACATGATTTTATGTATTTATTTTTAAATTTTTCATAAATTAATTACATATCAGATCAAGGAAAGAATTCATAAATAAATATTAACAATAAAATTTTCATCTTAATTATAACTATAATCTATCTTAATTTTCTTTCACCATTTCATTTCCTTTTCGCATGTTTCGGTTCTTAAAAAGCAGACGAATGAAGACGGACCTGAACTACAACCTCAAATCACATGCAAAAAATAAATGCTGTGCGGTAAAAACGATACGAATTACGATCGAAATTTGGGTCTGGCAATGGGCTTGAAATGTCTATTTTAAAGCAACATATTATAAATGGCGGTTGTTCTATTTTCTTTGGGTGTCCAAAATGTAAAGAGGGCACGATAAATTGTCACCGGACTTAAATTTGGAGAAACAGATTCGCCTGTGTTCCTGCATATACTGTTAAGTTTGTTACCAGGGAGATGGAGGCGTTCCTTTCCCCAAATATTCTCAGTTATTCAGTCATCCCGTTTTAGACAACGACATAGGTAGAGTAAGGTTTCTAAATTTCTTTATTTCCAAATGTTTTACATGTCTATATTATTAAGCCTAGAACTTATTTTTGTAGCAATAAAATTCATAACCACAATTAAGGAAATTTTTGTAGCTTTGAGGTAAAGTCATAAATCTAATGGCTTACTTAATAGCTGATTTTATAACCAAATATTATTCCATCTTTAAGATCATTTTAGGAGCCTCTAAGGGAGGAAATCATTTATAGATTTTTTGTGTTGCTATAACGGCAGACTACACTATAGTTTTGCTATTTTCCCCAGTGTAACATAAACGTGAATTAATTTTCCTCCCAAAATCCTCTGCTGAGAAATCTCTCGAGGCAAACTGCTTTGTGAGCTTTACCGAACCAGTTAATTAATTTCCTTCTATTTCCTTGGATGACTTAAGCAAAACTTTTTCATAATCACTTAGAGATTCCTTAAGCACAATAGCACAATAGCAAACTTCCAATAAATAATGAGCGATTAATGACTCAGTTAAATTTTATTTTTAATAACAAAATTCCTTTTTCATATTTTTCTGACTGGAATGTGACACGCTTTAGCTTTATCCTAAATAAATGAGACGTGCAATTATTCCTAAAATATAACCTCAAATAAATTCTTTATGAACATTTCATCGACGAAGACTTTTTGACTCGAACAGAATCTGTAAATTTCTTTAAATGTTTATCAACACTTCAAAAACACCTATGAATAAAAGAAGCTTCACATACTGCGAAATTATTAGCAATTTTAAACCCAACATTACAATCCTCAATATATATTTGTATATCAACACCAGATGTATATTTCTTCTGCTACTGCTGGTACTGATTACCTCAGGAATGTAGCATATTGAAATAACCATTCTAAGGATCTTGATTCAGGGAAGATTAAATTACTCTAATTGTTCTGTTTTCATTTCCTTGCGAGAAATAACGCTTAGGTTTGGTATAATAGTGAATTAATTAGCAAGCATTGGAGGAGGGGGAGTTATAGGCATAAGATTCGTGATAGAGGATCCTCGAAAAGCTCTGTCCCTTTGCGTTCCTCGCTATGAAATAGAGTAATCTACTTACTTGTAGTTCTAATGAGTCAAATCATTTCGGATGTCTTTGAGGAACTCTGTCCAAACCAATGCACGTTGTTTTGGGTAAAAAATGCTTCTTCAGGCATGTGCTTTGCGAGTATATATCCACTTAAAGATATCAGCTATCTTTAAGTATACAGACATGTATCCAGACAATCAAAGCAGTACATATATCGAAACAAAAAGAGTCGATGATACATTTTAGATCTATAATCAAGAGTGATAGTAATCAAAAACTTTACTTGGCCATATTAGAAACTTTAGGTTTTGGGGGCAAGTTTCACCCTTGGCCCAAACTTTATCAAAACTTTAGGTTTTTCACCCTTGGCCCCAAGGAAGGCTAAAATATGCTGAAAAATACTAAGGCAAGAACTCAGCATTTTATATCAGGAAAGCAAACAAAAAAGAAAATAGTTCCAATTTTCACAGTTTCAGATAGATAATTTTTTCTCGACAGAAATAGCGTTAACCATTTCCTATAAATAGATTACTATTTCATCATCGTTGCTATATCTTCATTGCTTTACTCACATTGTCAAAGGATAAAACTACAAAACTCTAGTTGTTAGGTTAATTAAGTTAGGCTATTTGAATATGACAATGAAAAGTGAGGACTATCTGTCTAAGAAGAGGGGTGCCTTCGGGGAGGACTTACTAAGGGAAACTATCTCGTTTACATACTACACATACGAAAAAGTACAAAAGCCAGCTATACAATCAGCTCTTCGTCTTGTTTCGAAGCCGGTCGAACTATGAGTATTCAGTAATTTTAAATACTCGGCAAGTTGTAAAGCAGCAGTGGTTACTCGATTCGGGCTCAAATTCTAGCGAACTTATTCGTTGCATGGGCATTTTCGCCATTTATTCCATGCTTGATTTGAATTTCAATTGGCCTTCCTTCGAAATTTCTCCAAGGAAGTATCCCCCT